AAGGAAGCTAATGGGGGACTGCTGACATGTGGCTCTTTGGTAATGCACATTGGTAAATTCTGGATCCTCCCCAGGCTCAGGTTGGCCACCCCTGCTTTAAAATGTCCTACTCCAGCCTGTGCCCTTATGTCCCTATCTCCCTCTTCTCCTGTTCCTGACTTCCCCACCCCAGCTTGCTCTGTCTCTCTCCCACTCTCCCCTCATCTATCTACATTCAAGTGTGGCCACCTCCTCCTTTTCCTCCACATTGCCCTGGCAGTAGCAGGAGATGCATTGAGACTACAAAACTGCTCTCAGTTGCCCCAGCAGCCCACGTCATTCTTTGTGATAACTGGCAAATAATGAGATTATTAATTACTCTATGCACCGTGCAAAGCAACGTGAGAAAAATATGGAAGACTACAAAACAAACTATGGATAAGAGTTTGACTATTGTTTACTTGCTATTAGTTTTATTTCATCTACCACTCATTCAGGGAAGAGACTGGAGTGAAGGAGAAGAATGGTAGTATTCTACTCTAGCTCTGGCTGCAATCCCAGAGGAGATGAATATTTTTGCTAAAATTATCAACATCAAAATAGTTTGTCAAAACATCTAACTTGCTTTAGCATAAACAGCCTGTTTAGATATATAAGTAGTGCCCTACCAAACCATGAAAAACGCATCACAGACCGTGAAATCTGATCTCCCCCCGTGAAATCTGGTCTTTTGTGTGCTTTTACACTATACTATACAGATTTCATGGGGGGAGACCAGTGTTTCTCAAATTGGGGGTCCTGACCCAAAAGGGAGTTGCATAGAGGGCGGGGGGGAGGGGTTACAAGGTTATTTTAGGAGGGTTGTAGTATTGCCACCCTTACTTCTGTGCTCTTGGCTGAGCAGTTGAAGGCAGCGCCCCACCACCAGCAGCACGAAAGTAAGGGTGGCAATACCATACCATGCCATCCTTACTTCTGTACCATGCTTACTTCTGTGCTGGTGGTGGCTCTGCCTTCAGAGCTGGGCTCTCAGCCAATAGCCACCACTCTCCAGCTGTCCAGCTCTGAAGGCAGCACCACCACCACCAGCAGTGGTGAAGTAAGGGTAGCAGTACCACAACCCTGCCTACATTTAACTTGCAACCCCACCCACCAACTCCTTTTTGGGTCAGGACTCCTACAATTACAACACCGTGAAATTTCAGATTTAAATAGCTGAAATCATTAAATTTATAATTTTTAAAACCCCATGGCCATGAAATTGACCAAAATGGACCATGAAATTGGTAGGGCCTTTTATCTGAGGCAGTTTGTATCCCTTAAAGCTATTTTCAGTCTGTCTGTAGACTCCTTAAGACAACTGCCTCAACTTGGTATTCAGAAGGATATCTTTGCCACCAAAAGAGCTAGAAACTGAATTTATTTAAAAAAGAAATCTTGAATTCTGCAGAAACTGGTGGGACCAGAAGAGGACGGTTTGTCCCGCCCACAAGCACATTCCTTCTTAATTCAGCCCTTGTACTCTTTACAGCATTGCTTGCTAAACTAGTGGCCACTTTCGTGTTCCCTTTCCAGCCAGGTGAAACTAGAAGAGGTAGTAGCAACAACCTTTAAAATCTATACTGTTTTCTGTTCTTTGTGCCAAATTCAGCAATAGTCAAGTAGGTCCCACTCGACTTCTTTCAATGGAGTCGCACCCATATAAATCAAAAATGAAATTGGCTCTGTAGCCAGCCCAAAATATATAATGGTACCAATACCATTAACTTTCACTCTTAAGAGAAAACATGTCATGACAACATTTTATAGTTAAAGATAAACCTTAAACTATTTTGTAATCCTGTAGCCAGTCTTATGAAATTGTTCTAAAATTACTTACAATTACTGGTTGATAGTATGCTGGGCCCAATGTCACATCTCTTTGAGGTGGGTATTGTTTAATAAGAGTGCCATCCTCAGCTTCTTCATACCCAAATGCTTGGCCTGGAGAAGGGATAGAGGGACCATCCACTTTTCGGTAGACTTTTATACTGCCAGCAGTCCTCTGTAAAAACAATTAGATTGTGCTTTAAATTAGATCACAAACACATTCCATCCATGTTGCATAAACTGAGGGTGAATGCACCCAAAGAAAAAGATACAGCCCTACACTTTATTAAAAAGGTGGTCTAGAATATTAACTTTTCATTTTTATGTTTTGAAGCACATGTACTTTTAATAGATGTCAGTGTACTAGTGAATCATTAAGTAACCACTGAACCTTATAATGTCACATGTGTAGAAGGATAACAACAATACAGCACTTTGCGTTCATATAGTCTTATTGGCAGAGTGAAAATTTTACTTTATTTTTCTGTGTAGACTTCCCCAATTTGATATTATCCCTTTTCAGCTAACTTCAAATTTCTGATCTGTTTATTTGTGTAGGTATAAATTCTACTAATAGTTTTGTAAAATAAAATTTACACTGTAATCTTTATGATTACATTAATACCTTCCTATATAATTGACTGTAATCTCATTTCTTTCAGTGATCTATTGCTGCCAAATGAGCAATAAACTTTTGTCATTTATCACCTAAAGGTAATTCAACTGCCATGCTGATAAATTACAAATAAAAGTCACATGAGGAAAGCTGGGACATAAAGAATGATACAATAAAGCAATGATGCAAAACACATCTAAGGAGTTCTACTCTATTTGAAGTTAACTACAGACGCTCTTAAAAAACTTTCTGGTAACCATAAATTTAACCTATATAAATTAAAATGTTGCTATCCCCTATTTCAGTTAATATCAGACCTCCAAATCTGTGCTGAACATGGATTTTTGAGTCTGCACGCTACTCAAGCACAAACCAATGAAATTCTACTGCTCTGCCAGGGAAAGGGCCAGTACAGGTAATCACATGCACTGCAGCCAATGGGGAAGCACCAGGTAACCTTCTGATTGCTCCCTAAGGGTATGTCTAACAGCAGTCGGGAGGTGTAACTCCAGCACAGGTAGGCATACCTGAGCTAGCTTTGAAGACTTACCTCCCCACTCCCAGGTGAGCATCAGAACCACCAGGCTATAGATTTTTCTGGGTTGCGTTGCTCTTGATCTCTCCTGTTGAAGCTTTCTACTTCATGTAGACACTTAAGTATTCCTCAGAGAAGGGTCTCGAACTTGGTTCTCTCCCCTGCCAGGTGAGCGCCCTACCCACCAGGCTACATGCTATTTTCCTCAACCTCACCTGTTGACACCATTCCACTTTGCATAAATATGCAGGGCCGCTGGGGGGGGGGTGGGGGTGGATAAGTGGGGCAATTTGCACCAGGCCCCACAGGGGCCCCCACAAGAATATAGTATTCTATAGTATTGCAACTTTTTCTTATGGAAGGGGCCCCCAAAATTGCTTTGCCCCAGGCCCCCGGAATCCTCTGGGCAGCCCTGTAAATATGTAAATATCTCTTGGACCAGAGAGAAAGAAGTGAGAATTACTCTATAGTGTGGTGATTGAGGCACTCCTCTGGGAGGTAGGAGAAGTTGATGCACATCCCTCCTCTGAATCAGGCGGAAAGAAGATCGTACTTTTAGTGTATACTGGAAGATTAGTCTTTTAAAAGATTTATTCTTATTTGAAATGGTTTCATAGTAGTTCTATAGGTTATTGCTTGCTTTCATTTATTTTCCCCACATTAATTCAACTTCCTCCCATCACTGTCTTGTGATAATTGTGAGCACCACTGTAGGTATGCAATTGTAACACTTCAGGCTGGTTTTGAAAAGATTAAGTTCAGTAATATGTTTACTAGTGTTTTTATACATTTTATGTTAACATTTGTGATCAATATCAAATTTTAAGAAAAAGAATTAATATGGCATCATCCTTTTTTATTAACATACCAGTTGACTATGTTCTTTAGGCTCTTTCTGCTTCCTGTTATTAACCTCTAACCCCACAGCAGGAGGTTGGTTATAGCTTCCAGGTCCTGGAGTGTCTGTACTGATCTCTTTGAAACGTTTTTCTTTGTTCTGCGGACTCTTACCACCTTTTATATTATTCTAAAAATATGAAAAAATGAATATTCTATGAAATTGTAAAGTAAAATTAATTATGAACTTGACAAGAACTTCACAAAATAAAAAAAACAGTTGATAGCCAGTCCTTTAAACCGAAGAGCTGACAATGTCTGCACTAATTTATATTAAAATACTCTAGATGCAGATAAATTTTCTTTTCTCAGTATTGTTTTACTTGACTTAAAATAGGAAATGCAACTATTTAGATAAAGAGGCTGAAAATGTTTGTTTCACTCTGCATTCTCTAATGAAATGCTATTTTAAAATTTCTTACAGCAATACTCCTCAGTGAATTACAAGTATCCCTGTCATTTCTATTGCAGTAAGGTATTAGTTGCTGTTTCTTCTTTTTCTAGTAAAGGAAAAACACTATATCAATTTTATAATCATCTATTTGTTCATATGGCAGTAGCACCTAAGAGAGCCCCAAACATGGACCAGGAGCCCAACATGGTAGGTACTGTACAAACAGAACAAAAAGATGGTCTCTGCCCCAGAGAACTTACAATCTAAAGATGTGCCACAAAAAGTTAGAGCACTGGCTCCTTCTATATAAATATCAATAGATTTAAACAAATTTGAGTTGAATTGTACATACAAAAGCTTCTGCATTTTCAATACACTGGGTCCAGAATCAATAGGTTGTGTTCTTTTTATCAGTGATTAAGTAGCAGCAACACCAGTGGTAAATAAGTTCCATTATAAGAATCCAGGCGATGACAGCTTTATAACCACCAACTATGTGACCTTTGGTTTCTAATGAGTGGCTGTCACTGTCCCTGGGTGGGGGCTGGGGCCTTTGATAGGCCTTCAAGAAAGTGAAGGGGTTTGAGGAGGAAGTCCAAAGGGGAGGGAGGAGGAGCTACTGATGACCAACACCTTGAGACAGTACTTGCAGAATTACAACTCATGCAGCTATTGTAGGAGTTAGGACTGGCTCATAATATGAATATGTTTTGCCTTTTTCTTCAGAACACAGTAGAAGAAACAGAAATGAGGTATTCCTGATGTCTCGATTTAAAGGGAACTAAGACATATTGTGGGAATAGAGCTAAAAAGAGCACCAAATACGTTATTTCAGCATTAGTGCTGCTACTGTATCTGACAATCATTGACAATAACAGCACAACTTATCCATAGCCAATTAGTAAACCAGACGTTACAGAAATGCATTTTTATAATTACTCTACAAATGCGAATTTTACAGAAACATAAAATGTCAGAAATTGCTTGGTTTATTTCATTTCACTTGTGTTGTTTTACATCATATCACATTCCATCATGTATGCTGCATTATGTCAGATTTCATAGAATGCAGTATTAGTGTGACATTAACTAAACAAAGTAACATAATATATTATGACGTATCCAGGAAGAAAGGAATAAAATGTCTTTCTAAAACGGGTTTACTTGTGCACTGTTTATAGTATTTCCCCCCACCGCTAACCTGCCATAAAAGAAAATGACTGTCTACAACTTCCACATTGGATGACTGATAATCAACTCTAAGGGCTTGTCTATACTTACCGGGGTTTCGACGTGCAGCGATAGATACATCGGCGGTCTAGACCCGCTAAATTGACCGCCAATCGCTCTCCAATCAACTCCTGTACTCCACCTGAACGAGAAGCGCAAGGGGAGTCGATGGGAGGGCGTCTCCAGTCAACATGGCATAGCGTGGACCCCGTGGGTAAGTAGATCTAAGTACATCGACTTCAGCTACGTTATTCACGTAGCTGAAGTTGTGTAACTTAGATTCATCTCCCCCCGTAGTGTAGACAAGGCCTAAGTGCTGCCAAAGCCCTAAGTACCTTTTCTCTACACAGCTAATTTACAATTACTTTGTCTGCAAACAAAGTAAAGATTAGTATATAAAAAATGCTACTTTGAGGGATTATTTAATTCTTCACACTACAAATTAAAACAGAAGCAAGATTCAGCAGGAAGACAAAACGTGAGGAAGAGCACTGAAGAAACCTTCTGATACTTTTAACTATGATTGCTGTTATAGCGTGCTAGTATGAAATTGATTGTATTACTGCCTTTTCCCACTGGAGGGTGCAAACTGTAGTCAGAAAGTCAAAGGAGTCTGCAATGGAGAAGATCAAAAAACAAGTATATTACATTACAATGACATATCCATAATAATGAATTTTTCCACTGTAAAATAGCCGCTCACTTTAGAAATTGTTTAATGCTTACACTAACTGCATTGCTTTTACTTATTCATAATTGCTAACAGATAGCATGAAAGTCATGTTTCCTTTTAATTCCAAAAGTGAACTGTAAAACCCAAGTGTTTAATACCTCATATTAATTAAATTTAAAATATGCATTTACATTGAGATTGTTGACTTGCAGACTTAATTCTAATACACAGTTATAACAACTTCAGCTGTGTGTTATAGGCACTGGCCCACTTTGCAGGTAGTAATGGGCAGTACTGCCCCAGAAAAGCAGAACCCTTCCTCAGCTTCTGGCATACAGAGGAGCAGGATACTCTCCCCACACATCTGGCCAGCTTTGGCTGCAGATACAGGAAGGGCAACGAGGAGCCCCACCATCACTCCATCCACTTCTGAGTGTCTTGAACATGCAGGAGAATGCTAGGAGAAATCAAATCTCTGTACTCAAAAGAGCTCAGGGACTGCAATTGTGGCCAATCACTGTGCATGGATATGGGGGTGAAGGGAGGCTTCTGGTACCCATTCCACCCTCAAAGCAGCCAGATACAATCTATATAATCATTAAAACATTTAATTTCTATAGCCTTACATGTGATTTCAGATAGATATATTTATTAGATTTAAATTTAACTAACAAGTAAACAATGTTTTCAGATAAATGGAGAATGAAGGAATTAAATAAAATTCCAGCTTCTCTTTAATGTTAATGTTATTATTGAAATCCTAAAAGCACACATACAATAGAGCAGTGGTGCGCAGATGGGGGATTCCCCCTTAGGGCAGGGGTGCAAGAGGTTCTCTGAGGGGGCACCAAGAAACTGGGATCCTGCGGGATCCCATAGGTCCTGCAAGACCCACTGTCATAAAAGCGTAAGGGGGGTAAAAATAGAGTGGGTATTGCAGGGTGGAACGGGAATGGGATTAAAAAAAAAACAGTCCTCCCACACCACAAACATGAATGCCCCGGCCAGCAGCTGCTGCTCTCCAGGTGCCCAGCTCTAAAGGTGGCATAGGTGCCAACTCTGTGTGTGTGCTCCAGGGCTGGAGCACCCATGGAAAAAAATTAGTGGGTGCTCAGCACCCACTGGCAGCCAGCTCCCTCCCACCTCCTGCAGCACCTCCCATCTGCCAGTGGCCCCGCCAATCAACTCCTCCCACTCCCTCCCAGTGCCTCCCGCCCGCTACGAACAGCGGGGCCTGCAGCCGAGCAGGAGCAGGAAGACGTGGGGCAGGGGTGAGGGCTTGGGGAAAGGAGTCGGTTGGAGGCAGGGCCTGGGGTGGAGCGGCGATTTGCACATCCCGGGGTCCGGAGGAAGCCAGCACCTGTGGAAGGTGGCACTGCCACCAGCAGCGGCACAGAAGTAAGGGTGGCCTTACTTCTGGACTGCTGCTGGTGGCTGTGCTAACTTCAGAGCTGGGCAGCCAGAAAGCGGTGGCTGCTATCCTGGACATTCATGTTGTTTGCAGTGCAGGAGGACTATTTTTTAATTCTGCTCCCATCCCACCCTGCAATATCCACTCCCACATTGTTGAATTTTTATCCCGTTCCCGCTATTATGGCAGAGGGATCCCAGTCCCGCTATAGGATAGAGCCCTGGCAAAAAATCCAAAACAGTTTCAGATTACAAGTAATAGAGGGAGGGGGCAACAAATTCCATGAAGGGTAAGTGGGGCATGACTGGAAAAGTTTACGCACCACTGTAATAGAGTATACAGAAACCTATCAAGCAAGCTTGAGAAGGTTCCTTTGCTCTCAGATAATTCATCCAGCATTAACCTGAATTTCCCTTTATTCTTACTGGAACCATTACTACATTGTTTCATTTATCAAAATCAATATAGCATTCATTACTCAAACTTCATGGGTCTTCGCTCTTTTAAAATGATATTATCTGTTAATACATTGAGGCATCAAGAAATCTTGACCTACACCATACACAAAGTACCCACTACTACTGGAAGTGAACTGCATGAAAACAACAGAACATCTAGTGAGTTGGACAGCTACTTAAAAGCACTCAGAAAAATGAATTTTAACTGTCACCAAGCATCCACCAACATAATTGTTTGGGGGCATCAAGGACTCTTTTGTCAGTTTTCCATTGGGGAAAGAAGTAGAGCAGGTGGGGAGAAGGGGGGACGCATGAGGAGGCAGAATAAGGAGGAGGAAAGGATTGTATATAAATAAAAGTTCTTGTCCAAATGATCACTTCCCACCATGCTGTCTCTTTCACTCCTGGCCAATTTAATTTTAGGAGGAGGGTGTTTATTGACTTGTTCAACTGAAATTTGTTATAAACATCACTTGTTATTACTGTTTTGAAAGTCAGGTTGCAAATTTCCTCTCTCTTAACTTGTTTAATGCAACTTCTATAATTTTACCTGTACTTTGGAAATATCATAGTGTCCTGGTCCTGGAACATCAATCTCAGCATTTGGAATAGTAAATGCAGACTCTCGAGTTGTCAAAGAAAGAAATGGAGCATAGCCATCTGCAAGTGAGGGGGAATGAAAAAAAAAACAGTAAAACATATGCACTTACAAAAGTTTGAGAAAGCAAATAGCCTATATATGCATCAAAATTATTTTTCAGTAATGAAAATATTTGATTCATCTAATTTTTCTGCTCCATTGAAAAGATGAGAAATATATAAAGAATAAAGAGTGTGTGGTTGAAAAACTATAAAGCTATTTTATAAGGCAGAAAGCCATCACTGTAATTATATTTTAGATCTGAAGCAGCTAACAGAGTCCCAAAGCCCATTCTCTATAGCTTCTCCAAACCCTACTTCTTCAGGTTCCTGCTTGCACAGAAGAAATTAACAGATTTTCAGCCCAAGAAGGCCCATTATGATCCTCTAGTCTGAACTCTTGCATAACATAAGCCATAGAATTTCACTAAATGCTTCCTGCACTAATTCCATTGATTTAGTTGACCAAGAAAGACATCCAATTTTGACTGAAAGACTATTAAGCAATGGAGAATCAATCCATGGAAGGCTACTGACCTCCTTCTCACATGTACAGAGAAGTGCAAATTCACTACCCCCACATTCAAACAACTACACTGGCTGCCCATTCATTTCAGGATCCAGTTCAAAATTCCCTTTTCTGATTTTAAAATGCTCCAGGAACTTGCTCCATTCCCTCTCTATATAGATTACACTAGGCTCCTCTCAATCCCTTCACATAATCTGATCACTGTTGGCGAGGGCGCAGCGTCCTTTGCAGCTGCAGCCAATTCTCACAGCCTTCTACATCTCTCTACCTCATTGATCCTCCCTTTCATTTAAAACCTTGAGTAAAAACATGCCTTTTCTCCTTTACCAACCTCTCCTAATTTCTATCTCCCCCTCTGCTGTTATTTAATTCTAAGCCATGTTATTTAACTTTATAAAGTAGTTGAGATAGTTTGTATAAAAGATGTTATAAAAAGTTATTCATAGATTTCCTGTATTTTAAACACACAAATGACCATTATGATCACCTAGTCTGACATCCTGCATGCCACAAGTATTATGTAGTAAGGTTGGATAGATGTACATAAAATTATAGAAAAGTGTTTAAAATTGAGTTAATTTCCCTGTAAATGAAGTAATGCTTAATTACAATTGTATTTATTTTCAACTGGGATTTACTTTAGTTGTATTTAAATGCAATGTAGTCTTCTACTTCAGGTTCATTAGGGAAGTTGCCAGTGGATTTTTCATTTTATTTCTGGGATAAGGTAATGTTAACAGCAAGAGGGAAGGTAAAGAAAGAGGACAAATAAAAGAAGAAATGTTACATTTGTTTATTTTTAATGCTCCTTGCTTCTATTCCTAATACAGGGATTAGCAACCTTTCAGAAGTGGTGTGCCGAGTCTTCATTTATTCACTCTAATTTAAGGTTTCGCGTGCCAGTAATACATTTTAATGTTTTTAGAAGGTCTCTTTCTGTAAGTCTATAATATATAACTAAACTATTGTTGTATGTAAAGTAAGTAAGGTTTTAAAAATGTTTAAGAAGCTTCATTTAAAATTAAATTAAAATACAGAGCCCCCCCGGACTGGTGGCCAGGACGTGGGCAGTGAGTGCCACTGAAAATCAGCTCACGTGCTGCCTTTGGCACGCGTGCCATAGGTTGCCTACCCCTGTCCTAATACTTTCCTTAGTAAGATCCACAAAATGGCCTTTCTATATGTTCCATTCTATATGTTCCATTCTATATGCATCCCAAG